CCAACATTGCACCTGGCTCCTGCCACATGAGAAGAAACAATGTTTGAATGTAGGCAAAATAGTTGAACCGGTTCATCAAAGATAAAAAGAGTAACAGGTAAGAACATTAAAAAACTCAAAAACCTTTGTCAGGTAAATGCAAAAATAATACCACAATGTCAACTTATTAGAATCAGTGAACTTGAAGGCAGGTTAATATATATAAACCAAAATGAAATTTAAATAGAAAAAGAATAACCAGAAAAGCAGTATAGAGAATCCAAGTGATGTGGAACAGTATCTAGTGACATAGAGACAAATAATTGGGATCCCAGAAGGAGAGGGGGAAAAAAAATCAAGAAGCAGAATATCTATGGACATAATATCTACATTTTCCAAAATTAGTGGCACCAAACCACAGATCAAAGGAGGTTAGAAAACACAAATCAGGGAGCCCAAAGATATCAATGGCTTCCGGCAGGATTGCAGTGAGGGCTGCCACCACTGGCTGGGTAAATGAAGCCCCCCAAATTCTGGACAACATAGGAAACTGGCTCCAGGACATCTAATGCTTTGCCATGACAGGAATGGTTTCCAGAGGAACTTGATCCTCAATTTGGGACTTTGCTGTGGGAATGTAGCTGGCCAGGAATTTTAGTGACATGGACCTAATGGCACCTCAGCCAGGGGTGTAGCCAAGTAGACTAATGGGACTCCTGTGCTGTACTCAAATCTTCCAAAAACAGAGCCCTACAATCTGGCCACCATGAGATATGCCCCAGCAGTAGCTGATACGGACTGTCACTGCCAATGGCCGCACAAGATACGCCCCCTTCCCTTTCCCCACCTCAGCTCCAGGCTCTGGTCAGAGGCCTGGTTCAGCTCAAGTGCTGCCTCTGTTCTGTAAAGTTCTGCACACAGTTCTTAAGATTCTGCAGGGGTGATCATGATCCCTGTGGTAATAAATAATAAGTGATAAGTATTTGAAATAAAGACTTCACACAAAGAAAAAAATGCAAGAAAGAAAACACAAAGCAAGCTAGGCCTAGCAGACTCACACTGCTGAAAATCAAACACAAAGAAAAAGTCTTGAGGACCACTGTAGGGATTCATAAAAACATCACCTAGGGGCTGGGGATGTGGCTCAAGTGGTAGCATGCCCACCTGTCATGCGCGAGGCACTGGGTTCGATCTGCAACACAACATAAAAATAAAGATATTGTGTCCACCTAAAACCAAAAAATAAATATTTTTTTAAATCACCTAAAAAGGAAAGAAAAACTACATCAGATTTAGTATCATGACCAAATAAACCAGAGAAAAACAGAGTAACATATTTAAAGTGTTGAAAGAAAACTTGTCAACCCAGAATTCTACATCTAGTAAATAGGAAGTCACTCTTTGAAAATGATATAAATATGTGACTGGACAAAAAATATTTTCTACTATAAGCTATACCCTTACAGACTGCTTCTATTTTCCAAATGAAAGTCAACATTTGGTACGTATGGTTCCCAGGTGATGTGATACTCTACATGTACAATTTAATCACAGCTTTGTTAGAAGTTATTAATGTATTWGTTGATGGAAAAACTTAGGTCAGTAAATCAGTTTTTATCAAGTAAAAACTGAGTTGGAGCCATGTGYGATGGCACACGCCTATAATCCTAGCAACTCAGGAGGATGAGGTAAAAGGACCACAAGTTCAATGCCAGCCTCAGTAACTTAGCAAGCCCCTGTCTCAAAAAATAAAAATGGGTAGAATGTAGCTCAGTGGTTAAGCGCCCTCAGGTTCAATTCCCAATACCAAAAAAAAAAAAAAAAAAAAAAAAAACTGAGTTATAATTGGGAAAAGGAAAAGCTACCAAATTATTAAATTACATCATAATATGCTTTTAAAATAAGATCTCATCGCTTTGTTAATGAAATCCACTGGGACTATTCTGAGATTCACATCCACATTAAAGAGATAGAAAAACAAATTTAAAAGGCAAGATTAAATCCACTATTAAGGAATAACCAGTGTATCTTTAAAACAACAGTTTGGTTGAAAGTCTGAAGAAATGAGTTTGCCTCGCTTGGCCTACTTGCAAGCCATACCAGATACAGGCAAAAGGGATACAAGCCAATGTCTTCATGGAGATATCTGACAATCATTTAGCTAACCCAAGTACAAAGTTCTCTTAATTTCCCTTAAACCAATTACTTCATCTCATTAATCCTTCTTAGAACATTGATCAGTTCTGTCTGAAAATGTCAATTCTTGTCTTTAAAAATATCATCATCTCCCCCTTTACTACTTCCATTTATCCCATCTCTATCTCCTCTCCTCTTCCGCTCACACCTTGGCTCCAGGTAGGTTCACTCTAACCACACACTGACCCAAATGCTCACTGCTTCACTCCTACAAGCCCCCTCCCATCCCTCCTCTTCCTTAGAATGCCCTCCCCTTTGCTCTCATGCAACATGCAGGTGATAACTTTCTCTTGGAAACAGTTTCTGACTAGTTAACATGAAAACTTTTTTTTTTAACAGTAAGATGAACCCCTTGGTTCTTAAACTCTTGCTACTATGGCAACTTATTCCAGATCTGTTCCTCAACTAGTTAAGCAGAGGCTGTCCTGGTAAGCTAATGGTGAAAAATGAAGACGTGAGCTATGTCTTACCTTGCAAGAGAAACAGGCACTAAGACATCAAGTGACCAATGCACACATGAAAAGCCTTGGGCAGAATGGTTTTCCTTTAACATGAGAAGTTGACAGGGACATAATCCCTTGTGTAGGAGTATGTGAAATGAGGGCTTTCAGTTACTGACAACTCTATAAAGAGAATTATGATGACTAAATAGTGTTCATTTTCCTAAATGATGTTTTAAACACTCGTGTCAGTGTTTCCAAAATGGAAGTATTGTTCAAGAATGCTGTTGGGCTAAAAGAATCCAAACCCTAGCTTCTATGAATAAACTGAGGTCAGCCCATCCTTAAATGTTAAACCAGTCTTCCAACTAAGAAATACAACACCAGAAAGGTTAACTATCACGATCCCTTTAACATTTATTGAACATGTTTTATATGCCTATCTCTATATATTCTAAGTCCTGTAAAAGTTAGAAACAATGAAAATACATGGTCTCTATGCATAAACACACAAGCACACACATGAAATAGATACAGACCTGAAAACAACAATACATGGTGTTTTATCATGGGTCCCAAGTCGACAGATATTAATAGAATAAATGCTACAGGCGTTCAGACAAAAAGCTCCAAGAAGGCCATGATACTTCAGCTGGGCACTAAAAGATAGATAAATCTTTGGTAACAAAATAATAATAAAGGACATTCCGTCTGTGTGAAAGTTAGAAAAAGCTTTGCAAAAACAAAATTTTTGTTTGGAAAAAAAACGAGATGAACTTGGAAAAATAAGTGAAGTGTATACCATGGAAGAACTTGACTATCAACCTAAAGAGTTTAGACTTAGTCTGAAAGTGACAGTCACTGAAGACTGTCTCACCACTGAACCAATGTGTGGTTAGTGTGATGTAGGTACATCACCACGGTGACTCTTAAATTAAGACTAAAAGGGACTATTTGTCTGAGTCAGTACAGTTTTCTCAATTTTCTTCCTCAAAAGCATATTTCTTCTTCCCAAAGACAGGTAACAATTTTCTTCTGCTGCTTTAGGTACGACTCACCCTACTTAAAAATGTGTCCAACAGAATGATTGCAAAATTCAAATACAAATAGTACCGCTCTTTTAAATATCTTGATATATTCAAAACAGATTTAAAGATATTTTGCTGAATAAAGGAAGGGATAAGACAAAGGGTTTTGGTTAAAAAATAAAAAACATGGATGTCACTTATTTGWATTATGTAACAAAGTCATTACTTTATAAATGTATGACTTAGGGAAAGTTGTTGGGGTTTTTTGTGAGTGGAACACTCATTGGGAATATCTGCAGGGCTGGGGATACACCTCAGTTGATAGATTGCTTGCCTCACCTGCACAGGCCCCGGGTTCGATCCTCAGCACCATGGGGGGGGGGGATATACACACACACACACACATTCATATATATATATATATATATATACACACACACACACACACACACACACACATACATACACAACGTAAAGAGAAGTAAAGGACACCTTCTGACCTAATGGAAGTCAAATGGGGAACTAAATACAGATATTTTAATAAGTTTAAAAATTCAGTTCATCCCATCTAACACAGATTCTTTCATTATTAAATCTCCACTATGTATATCTGTCATAGTCAAAGAAAACCAAAACAGAATGAAAGAATAGTATTATACTTTTTCTTGAAGATTATTAAAACAAAGAAATTTTTCTTAATTAAAAAAATAAAGAATAAGTAAAAAATAGTGGAATCTGTTTCATACATCTGGGGATTAAACAGTATTATTATTTTGTGCTTTAAAGAAATACATAAATAGATTTGTTAATTCTACATTCTGGGGAAACTCAGAGTTTAAAAGAGTTTTGAAATTGTTGAGATTTACTTATCAGTGACTTTTTAAGAATTCGTTTTTAACTTTCCAGAACAAAAGATGAGTCTAAAAGACATGGGAAAATCAGTTCACAAAACTCAATCAAAAAAGTAAAGCTCACGGTTTGCAGGTACAGCTCAGTGGTAAGAGCACTTGCCTGGCACAAACAAAGTCCTGGGTTTGGTCTCCAATACCAAAGGAGAAAAGAAAAGGATCATGGAGAGAGAGAGGGAGGAAGGAAGGGAGGGAGGGAGGCAGTGAGAGAGGGAAGCAAGGAGGGGAGGGGAAAATACAAACTAGAAATTCATATAGTAAATCAGAAACAAACACCCCAGAGCTTTATAATCAAGGGAAACTGAGTCCATGGAGAGATCCATGTTACAAATTAAATAACCTATAAGGTTTTTACACTAACTTAGTACTAAAATGTGTGATTAGTCTAATAAAATAGATCTATTTTTCCATTAATGCCACTTTAACATGAAAACCTTACATTACAGTACCTTTCAATTCTGAAAGCACTTTCATATTCATTTTCTCATTTGGCCCTCATAAGTATCCTGCAGAAAAAGAAAGCAATATTTTCCTTCAGTGAAACTGAGTTCTAAAGTAGCAAACCTAGAGCAGAACCCAGGAGTTCTAATTTGGCAATACTGTTATTTCAACACACTGCCTTTCTATCAAATACCAGTGAAGTATGCCCTCACATTTCAGTTGTGAAGGTCATACCTCTTAGTTCTAATCATAGCACAAACTGGGATACAATTTCTATTACGTCTGGGATAGGAAGATGAGTTTACTACTTCAGTATTTCTTTTCTTATACATGCTTTGATTAAGTGTGGTCTACCCTTAACCAATCAAGGTAGAAATTTTTATAGATTAACTATATTTATATATTTAAAAAGTTGAAAGAGAAGCAAATTTACATAAACAACATTTTTTTTTCCTCACAGACTTTTCCATAAAATCACATAAGCACTCAACAGATAATAAAGCTATCATGGCGGGGGAGTGATCCTAGAAGAAATCTAAATGTATGTTAGTTGTCAGAAATTCATTTGAACTAGAAAATTATACAGCTTTGGTAAATATATTTTGGGTGTATGAAATAAATGAATGTTCCATTCTCACCCACCTCTGTTATCTTTTATAGAAAAAAAAGTTCACATGCAAAACAAAATTATAACAAAAAATATTCAAGAAAAAATCAACAGGCTGAACTGTTTTAACCATATAACACATTTTTCTGTGCTGTCTCTACTGTGAAATGCTTCTTTATCAAAAGTTTACCCATATTAAGGATAATATAAAGCAAAGCAAATACCACATCAGTAATTTTAAATCTCTGCGCCTTTGTAGTCCACATGCAAAACTTAAAGGTCACTTATTTTAATTTAGTTCTATAAAGCATGTCTGACACCATTTTTAATTCTGTCATACAATATAGGAAGTCAAATTTCTAATACTGAGAAAAAGCTTTGGGGGGGTTTTGGGGCAAAAGGTCTATTGTACCACACTGAGGCACCTGGACCATAATCTGTAGTGTCCCCCGTCCAAAGCCCTTCCCAATCTTGAAATCTCTCTTCTGCTATACAACATCACAACAGCTATCTAGACTTTATTAATTTTGCAATTGTTTAAGCATTATAGGACTAGGTCCTGTTTTAGGTGTTAAGGATACTGCTATCATCAAGATGGGCAAGACTCTAGCCCTCCTAAAATGCATATACCAGTTAAAAAGACAAGTAAGCAAACATTTCAGGTAAAAGTGCTATTAAATATTATAAAGCAGCTGGGCACAGTGGGGCATGCCTATAATYCCAGAGGCTCAGGAGGCTGAGGCAAGAGCCAGCTTAAGCAATTTAGCCAGGCCTACCCAATTCAGCAAGACCCCTGTCTCTAAACAAAATGCAAAAAGAGGGCTAGGGATGTGCCTCACTGGTTAAGTGCCCCTGGGTTCATCCCYAGTTCGAGGAAAAAACATGATAAAGGTAAGAAATTATGATAAAAGGGATTATCTTTGGTGAAGTGGGCAGGACCTTTCTTAAGATGTGACCTGTGTAAAGTTCTGTGGAAGATGTTCTAAGGCAAAGGGAACACAAAGTGCAAATGTGCTTCAAATGAGACTAAGTATGGCATGCATCAACAAGACCACAGCGAACAAGGCAGAACCTGGACAAGAGATGACTTTACAGTTAAGAGGGACCTCTGATCAAGCAAGGACCTGCAGGAATGTGGGTTTTACTCCTGCCATGGAAAGCCAGTGTGGAGGTTGAAGAAGGGGACTTTACCAGTTCTGATTCACATTTTTGTAAGTTTACTATAATCATACAAAAGACTGTAGAAGAAAAAATAGACAAAACTAATAAAGAAATGATCACACAGTCCTTTAGTACTTAAGCTTTTGGACACAAAGTAAGTAGCACACAGTGACACTCCCAAAACTTCAATTTAAGGTAATTCTTTGAGAATAAAACTACAAAATGTAAATCTTCAACCCCCTCCCACTGGGCATAAAGTTCAAAGAATTTCCAGCTTCTCTGTACAGAGAATGATTTGGGAGATAGCTCCTCTGAACCCTGCAGTCAATAAACCTGCTTCCTAAAAATGCCTCAGGTGGAGAAGATAATGCTTAGTGAAGTTAGCCAATCTCCCCCCAAAAAATGCAGAATGTTTTCTCTGATATAAGGAGGCTGACTCATAATGGGGTAGGGAGGGGGAACACAGGACTAATAGATGAATTCTAGATAGGGAAGAGGGGAGGGAGGGAGAGGGAGGAGGCAAGGGATTAGCAAGGATGGTGGAATGTGATGGACATCATTATCCAAAGTACATGTATGAAGATACGAATTGGGTGTCAACCTACTTTATATACAAACAGAGATATGAAAAATTGTGGTATAAATGTGTATTAAGAATTGTAATCCAAAAAAAACCAAGTATATGTATAAAGATGTGAATTGGCATGAACATACTTTATACAAAGATATGAAAATTTGTGCTTTATATGTGTATTAAGAATTGTAATACATTCTGCTGTCATGTATTTTAAATAAATAAATAAATAACTCAAAAAAAAAAAAAAATGCCTCAGGTGTCCAGGCTCTTCTATCCTACATCATATCCTCAAAGAAGTATGATTGGATTGCAAAAAAGATTTTAAGAAATCAATTTTAAAATATAAAAATGAGCTAAACTGAAAATTCTATATACTAAAGTTTACAAACTGTCACTCCACTGGTATGTTTTAAAATCTTTGCTTTGTAAATTTTGGCTTGTTTACTAATACTAGGAATTAAGATGATTTTCCACAAAAAGTCATTTTTGTCTGAACTTTAAAAATCAGCAGCTCTGGTATCTTTTATTCTTGCAAGGCAACAATCTGTGGGAGGTGAGCAGGAATTCTATTTATTGTTATGCAGATGCTAATTCACAATGGGGGGTCATTAGGGAAGAATAGAGYTACTTTATTAGAGGAGAGTGAAGGGAGGGGAGGAGATTTGGGGATAGGAAAGGCAGCAGAATGAAAGACTTTATTACCTTATATACATATATGACTGCATGACCAATGTGATTCTACAATATATGTAATCAGAAAAATAAGAAATTATATTCCCTCTATGTATAATATATTAAAGTGCACAAATGCAATCTACTGTCATGTATAACTAATTAAAATTTTAAAAATTAAAAAGTTCTAGTACAAGCTTCTCTAAAAGAAATGGATAAATTCTTTCACTTTGGTATTTGGGTAACATAAGACTTTTTAGTTGTGCTTTTAAAAAAAAAAACAGCATTATCATTATATCAACTTTAAATGGGTATTTATTAAGAACCTATTAGGAACCAAGAACTGCTACAAAAAGTATAGAGCCCAGAGAAATGGCTTCAGTCTGTCACAGGAGCTCTCCAATGTGATTACAGTTCTTGGAGATTCTACTCAACATGTATTCTACAAACAACCTAGAAGGTAATCACTGATTCTAAGATCTGAAGTGTTCAATGAGGTTCTAGATTCTAGAGGCTCATCTGTACTTCCACACCTTTGTTTCTTGAAAGCAACATTCCTTACAACAACTTCACAAGGTCTACAAGAGTGAGGACAGTGAGGCCCCCCAACATGGGCATTAGTTGAGGTCTGTACAATAATTCACCATTTAGACAGACTCAAAACATAAATTTATAACTACAAGAAATGAGAATCAAATAAATCCTTTCATAAAGTCTAGAATAAAAATGTTTAGAGCTAAACTTTTCCTTTTCTAAGCCATCTGACAAGTCAGATGAGACACTTTAGGCCTCTCCTAAGTCCTTTTTGTACTATGTGCTAGACATCCTATGGCATATGGTAATCATAAACAAGAGACAATTCCATTCTACAAGTGTATTGAAAAGACACTCAAAGAGCTGAGACTATGAGATGAGAACCACGATCCAGCAATTTTCCTTTCCCTTATACATATGCTAGAAACACAATTTTAGTACCCTGAAGCAACAGGCCAACACTGTGAATTAAATACTTACATGTAAAAATGTATTTAAAACGCAAAGCAAAGGAAAAGAAAATGCAATCTCAAATAGACATGCATGGATATCTATGCTAGATTTCTGAGTTTTTAACAGTATACATTTTTTTCATGAAGATGGCTTTGTTTCCATCTGAACATTTCAAGAATTAAATGTGTAATAATCTGTGGGAAAAGAATTACAAAAGAAAATACAAGCAATGCACAGGTGTATACACTATTACTAGCTCAAAAAAAAATTGCAGTTACAGGCCTCCACCATGTATTTACTTCACTTGTGTATAATTACATTTTATACATATTTATTTAGTATATCAATGCACGACATCACATTGAGAATATAACTAACTGGATGGTAAGACAAAATGCACGTTTATGTGTGTTTTACTATTTTTGTGTTTCTGTGTTTCAAAAAAAGTTGGTCTTTGTTAGTTGTGTTTAACTGCCATCTAGAGTTAAAATGAATCCATTTCTTTTCCCCTCTAACTATTCTTCTTCAAAATTTTAGGCATATAAGCCAACACATTTAACCTCTATTTCATGTCAAATTTTTTTTTCGGACAACAAAATTATAAAATTAAAACCATTATTCAGCTTTTCAAATTAACAATTGTACCTGCTGTAAACATTTTAAGTTGAGTGAAAAGTAAGACTTGCATTTAATGTATCTAAAACATTACTATTGATTATGTAAATAAGACAATATAAGCAATCTAATATACACTTGGACTTAAGAAAATACATTAAAAATAAATTCATGGTCTGTTTCTATGATCTCCAATTTGTATTTTTTTCAGAGCCCAGAAAAGGCAGACCCCCCCCCAAAAAAAAGGAGTTTTTTCATGTTTTTAACCCCTGAAAAATTTGATAACTATCCAAATCCCAAGTATATATTAAACCAAGTGAACTTTTAAATACCCTGACATTAAAATTAGCATTCAAAACCAAACTGGAGGATTTTACAAGAATAAAAAGTCAGTACAATCACTCAGTTTTCAATTTAAGAAATAATGGGAAATCAAGAGATACTTTTACAAGAAAAAAAAAAAGGATTCGAAAATAAGACTCAGTGCCCTAGAAGCAATGTATTCAGAAGAAGTGTTTAAAAAAAAAAGAGAGAGAACATTTTCTTCTTGCTGTTTTCACATAAAAAAAAATACTTAATGTCCTTCATTTAACTAACTATCCCAAAGGCATTAAACCACAACAACATTTTCTGACTATATTTTTCACATCATTAGATCCTAAAACAAAGAAGTTGCAAAGCAGTAAAACTGCAACTTGCATTCTTTCAAAGGAAGTCATATGAAAGTTTTCAAGGGGATACATATAGCAAACAAAAATGAAGCTGGCTAGTACAAGATGATTGATTGTTTTCAACAGACAAGACATTTCGCAATAAGCATTTCGAAAAGATAGGGGAAAAGATAGGAATGGCAGCAATGCTTACCATTCAAACATAGTTTAAGTATGCTTTTAAAACTTTCTTAGTTGCTTAATCAATCATAAATAATAAAGTTACAAGATTATAAGAGCAAAAGGGAAAAAAAATGGAGAGAATAAAGAATGAAGCAGGAAGGACACAATGAGAAAATGCCTACTTCAAGACTGGCTGGGCACAGTGGCACATGCCTGTAACCCCAGCAACTGGGGAGGCTGAGATAGGAGGAGCACAAGTTCATGGCCAGGGGCAAATTAGTGAAACCCTAACCAACTTAATGAGACCCTGTCTTAAAATAAAAAAATAAAAAAGATTGAGGATGTAGCTTAGTGGCAAAGTATTCCTGGGTTCAATACTAAGTCCAAAAAAAAAAAAAAAAAAAAAAAAACCTCAACAAACCTCAACAGTCATAGACTAGTGAATATAGTAAGAGTGAGAAATCAAAGAGACAGGATTGCAAAACAATAACACAACTTCTATCAATTATACACAGCTAGAAAGGCAACAGTATAAGGCAAAAGGACTGTGCGAGCTTTTTTTATTTTTCTTTTTAGATGTACATAACAATAGAGGATATATTGACATATTTGTGTGAGCTTTAAATTACTGAAATATGAGAAGTATATATATTTACCATGCATACAAAAATGATTTCCAACAATTATGTGTGCTCTCAATATGAAAATTTTCTAATTTTTTCTAAACTCAATTTTAAAAGTGGTGAGGTTTTCATTTACTTTCCTAAGGAAGGAAAAGGCACATGCAAATTCTCATTGGAAATCTGTAAGGTTAAGCATAGTTTTATCAGCAAGACCTTGTTAGCCAAAAATGTCTATAATGTATGCATCATCTGTGATAATGATTTCTCTACTGCAGTGTTTTATCTGATTGTGAGATAGTCAGGGACCACCATGGAGGGACAAAAGGCTGGAATGATGAAATAAACCCCTGAGCACAATGAACTATTATCCCTTGTGCATGGCATGTGGCTTCTCTACCTTTGTGCTTTTCAGCAAGCCTGTCATGAGAACCTGATTTAAAAAAAAAAAAACAAAACTGAAACAGAATGTTACCAGGAAAATCTAAGTTAAGTATACCTCTAGCTTCACTTGTTCTTAGTTACCTACAAAATTAGTGACTTTTAAAGTTAACAAAACTGGGCAATACATTATTGGTTTCCTACTAGTTTTGTTGCAGATAACATCTCTGACATGTAGGTTATGGTGACAGAAGTTTCCTACGTTACTTTTCAGGGATCCGAAGCCTGCTTTTACAGAAAAAAGATTCTTCACTTGGACCTGCAGATGTCTGATCGGCTACTGCAATGTGATAAAAAGGCTTGACATCTCTGTCTTCATATTGTGTCTCTCTCCTTTGCAACTTTAACCTCTGGGTCAGAGTCTACTCAGGTCTGCACATAGATATTTTGACTGCCTTCAATATAGACATATTAAAACTGATTTGCGTTTTCTACCACCCAGCTCTTGGGCTTTTTCAGCAGATACAGCAGCCCAGGTAATCAAAGTTCATCAGCCCTATCGTAAGTCCCAGATTAAGCTATAAGGCCAGGATGTTTGCACAGGATAATGGCACCAGTTGCAAGAGTAACTCAGCAGTTCCTGGGATAAACTGACCATGACTGTTCAATGTTCAAGGCTCTCACAAGACCACCATCTTTTGGAAGTGCCCCAGTTAGTGGAAAATTACTGAATTTTAGCCAACTCAAGCAAAACAACACAAGTTTACATCTTTTGAGGAAACAACCTGGTATTCCATTCAATGCTGTCTCCCTACAGGTGGAACCCCAGTTAAAACCTTGCCTTTGTGTATTCCCCAAACTTGGCTGGTTTCATTTCTACTGACCCTGAGTTAGAAGTTCCCCCTCTTAGATAAACCATGGCATTTGCAGGTAAAAATGGATGGCGTTGGAGAAGATAATGCTAAGTGAAGTCAGCCAATCCCCAAAAAACAAATGCCAAATGTTTTCTCTGATATAGGGAGGTTGACTCATAGTGGGATAGGGAAGGAAAGCATGGGAGGAACAGATGAATTCAAGATAGGGAAGTCRGGTGGGAGGGAAAGGGAGGGGGTAGGGAAGTAACAAGGATGGTGGAATGCAATGGTCATCATACAAAGTACATGTATGAAAACTTGAATTGGATGTCAACATACTTTATATACAAACAGAAATACAAAAGCATGGTATTTATGTGTATTAAGAATTGTAATGCAAAAAATAAATAATGTTACCTTAGATTAGGTAGAGGGAAGTGAAAGGAGGGGAAGGCAGGGGATGTGGGGATAAGAAAAATAGTAGAATAAAACAGACATTATTACTTGTATGTATGTAACTGTATGACCAATGTGATTCTACAATATGTATACTCAGAAAAATGAGAAATTATATTCCATCTATGTAAAAATTTTTAAAAAAGAAACAGCACATGGACTCTGAAATCCTCCAGAAAAAAAATGGGGCATGTCCTGGGGAACTGAGTTATTCTTGTTAATAAAGTGAACTGAGTCATGACCAGCAAAAAAAAAAAAAAAAAAAAAAAAGTTCCCCTCTTAGGTAACAACTGGACCTAGAATGATACTTGGTTCACTAACAAAAACTTCTAAAGAGGTATCTGGTTATAAATTATTTCTGATTAAAATCCACCAATTTAAAACATTTCAGATATATTGAGTGTAGAATATTTTCCCACAGTCAAATGATCAGAGTACAAATATGAAACAAGCTGAAATTCTAATGATTTTTATCAAAATAAAGAAAAACAGATACACAGGCAATTAGATTGCTTTATCAAATTCCTGAAAGTGTTTAAAAAAAAATCAGCTTCATTTCAGCTATAAGTTCTTGATGTTCTTTGTACTTACCTACCCAGAAAAACACAAAAGATGGCTTTCTATAGCTTGGTGTGGTGGCACACAGCTATAATACCAGTTACTCAGGAGGCTGAGGCAGGAGGTTAACAAGTTTAAGGACAGCCCAGGCAACTTAACAAGACCCTCTCTCAAAGTAAACCAAGGGCTGAGAATGTAGCTCAATGGGTAGACCATCCCTAGGTTCCATACTTAGTACTGCAAAAAAAAAAATGGTTTCTATGTAAACTATAACAGAATTTACTATAGCTTGAAGTCTTTTTTTTTTATGTTTATTTTTCAGCTTTTGGCGGACACAGCATCTTTGTTTGTAGGTGGTGCTGAGGATAGAACCCAGGCCACACGCATGCCWGGCGAGCGTGCTACGCTTGAGCCACATCCCCGGCCCCATAGCTTGAAGTCTTTGAAATAGAAAGAAATAAAATAATCGCTGAATCTGGCTAAGTTTATCACTTCTTTTTCCATCCTGAAGCCTTTCTTGTCTGTCTGCATTTTTGTACTCAGGAGTTTACCTTCTCCAAATATTTCTCCCACTTCTTACTGTCAAGACTCCATTTTTAAATACCCTACCACAAGAAATAAAACCTTCAAAACTAGTGAAAACTATGAAAAAACACTGTTCTCCATGCTCTTCCTAGACATACTCTCATGTACACATTTCTGTGCACACTGCTTCATAGCATACTGCTATGTCACAAGGAGAGTTACAAAAGTAAATCCTTTAGAGGAGCATTTCTATGGAATGCTAGAAAATATAAATTATAGTAGTCCATCTTGATAACCTTTAAGTCTCTGTTATTACTTTTGGTTACTGTTTTCCTAAATGTCACGAGAAATTTTCCAAACTTTTCCTCCCTAAGACAGACAATGACCTCTGAAAAAGCTGGGCTCAAAGGTGAAAGACCCCAGTTTGTCCCAACCATGCTGCTATGAAAACATATGCAAAGCAGGGACGAAAGCAAAGCCTGTCGGAAGTACAAATGCTTTAATGCGCAGTCTCTCAGTATTCTGTTTCATGTAACTTATTACCGACTTAAAGAAAAGTTTTCATTTACCTACTCACATAAAATATAAAATGTCTGTAACCATGCAAAAGCCCTGATTTACTCCTGGAACCCAGAATCTATTTGTCATCTTTACTAAGTGTTAAGGGTGTGGAACAGTCCTACCAACTGAAGACAGAGCTCTGGAAAATTGTTTTTTTATTGGTGCATTAGAACTGCACAGTGGAATTCGTTGTGCCATATTTTCACATGCTCATAATGTGACCAGTCTCAATCGCCGGTACCTTCCCTTTTCCTCCTGAGCCATGAAACAGCTTTAGTGAGAATATTTCACCCATTCACTCAAAAATACTGAGCACCTACAGCACTTCTAGTTGCTGAGGATCGGCACCCCAAGAGACAAAAGTATCAGTTCTTAAGGAGTTTGGATTCTAGTGGTGGGTGTGCTCATAAACAAAAGAGCAAGTATATGGAACATTACTGTGTGGTGCAGAAACATAAGTAGGAAGAAGAGGATAGGGAGCCAGAAGGTAGGGATTTAATACTGGGGTTGCAAACTACAGACAGCAGACAGCGCTGGGACACCCAAGGTAGGGTGCTTCAGGCTACTCCACAGGTATTTGCTGAATAAACTCTGCGGGAAGTTCATTCCAACACTTAGGACTACTTTGCAGAGCTTTTCTCCACAAGCGGTTCCTAGGAAACCAGCTCCACCCTCTGAAGTATTTTTAACATATGCAAATTCCAGTATTAAAGAGTTTGAAACGCAGCCATCACCAAAAGAAATTTCTCCCCCCAAGTTCCTAAGTACCCGTTTGGGCACCTCCCGCGCACTGCCTACCAGACACGAACCTTCTCCTCAAAGCAGCCACGCGTCACTAACCTACTCAGGCAACACGCGCCTTTTATAAAGCTGTGGTGACGTCGTGGCGCATGTGCGTGCATAAAGATGGCGCCCCGTCCTCTGCGCCTGCGCAGTGCGCTTTCCCGGAAGAGCTTGTCGGTGGGCTCCTTGAGCGAAGTCCTTACGGTGGTGCGTCGGTGCGTGACTATCAGACCACCGCATAGGATGTCTGCAGGGCCGGTGAGGAAGAGGGAAGAGCCGGGTGATGAGAAAAATTCTTGAGTATTTCAGGAAGAAGGGGGAGTTGGGGCGGGGTGTCAAAGGGCCAACTTGGAGCGAATCTTGGTTTAAAACGCGCGATTTGCCCTGTCTGAAGCGCCCGTAGCGGTACCGGTACTGAAAAGTTGCCGTGGACCGACTTTCTGGTCTTGCCTCAGTGCTGCATCAATCAACTCTAGTTTCTATGACGCTAGAGAAGCGGCGACCAGGAGGATTAGCCTTAGCAGGAAAATATCTGTAATTGGACCTTGGCCGGCTAGCGGGCGACTGAATGCTGTCCTCGGTTCTGAGGAAAGACAGCCAGGCCTTAGGAGGGAAACCCCATGAAGGCAGGCCGGCCGCCCGCTTCCCTCGGCCGGGCTCAGCGCTCTACGCTCTACAGCCAAAGCTGTGTGTGAATGAAGAGTTCAGACTTTGCCTGGATGTTGGCCAGTCAGGCAGCCAATTCATGATCAGTGTTTAATTTAGGAAAAAAAAAAAATCCTCATTCCAGGAAGGAATTTTCTTTTTTCTTTTCTTTTACCCCGCCCCCCCTTAGGTCAGGCACCTTCTGGTTTTACACCCATCCAGATGTGTCTTCAGGCTTGGGCTCTTGAAAGCTTTGTGCTAGAGCTCTATCTGCACTGATCCATGCTTTTTAACCAAGGTGAACCAAGTGTGTCTTGAAAATGAGAGCTCTCAGTGGCCAGGGTAAGGTGAAGGTACTAACTTGAGCTTTTCCTTACAATTACACATGAAAAAAAAAGACTTTCCTATTTGGAAGAGACGTGGTAGAACTGGGCAGTCTTCCAGTAAAGGAAAAACCATGAGCTTCCAGTTGGTTCTCATACTTGTTTGCCTGTCTGTGTGTGTGTGTTTGTGTGTGTGTGTATGCGCGCGCACATGCAATAAGGAATGGTATTCCTGCCTTGAATTTTACACTAGATTTTTTTTTCTATCTATTGATACAATAAAGTGTTCATTCGTCTTAGTACCAGCTGCTTGTTTTTAATTCTGATGAAGGTTAGAGTTTGAAAAAAGAAAAACAGGGGGAAATGTTAAGTATGATGAATTCACCTGACTCAGTGTCCTTAGATGGATCTGGCATATGAAAAACTAATCATCTTGAATAAAAATGTATTTAAGTGCAATTCTTTGATTTTATACATTACTATATCTTAAGTTTCCATTTCTCCTCTGAAAGAACCAATGGGTTAAGATACTAATCAAATACTGCATAGCTGAGGATGTGGTAGAAGTAACTTTAAATGTTTTTATTATTTTAGAAGAAAGCTTATGCCACAGCTTTGATTAAAGATGACTTCATTTTTCGCTCAAGAAGTTCGCCTTTCTAAAAGACATGAGGAAATGTAAGTTTTTTTAAAAAGTATAATGCAAACATAGAAGTTACACTGATTTCATTAGCGAAACACAGTGAAGATTAAAATTTTGAAAGTGTGTCATTTTAATTTTCTGACACCTAAGAGATTTGCATATGGGCTGGAGTTGTGGCCCAGCAATAGAGCACTCGCCTAGCACGTGCAAGGCCCTGGGTTCGATCCTCAGCACCAAATTGAAAAAAATAAATAAATGAATAAAGGTATTGTGTCCAACTACAACTAAAATATAAATATAAAAAAAGATTTGGGCATAAGGAATTTTCATTGTTTCTTAAGAAAAACTAGGATTAAAAGGTATAATTCTTTTCTATCTTTTTTACTTTTTGTTACTAATATCTAGATAAATTCACTCTTCTTCTTCCCCTTAGCTCCACAATGACACTTAACCCAGTAAGTCCCCAATTTTCAACTCTGCAAATGTCAGTGAAATTGGAAAAGGTGCATTAAAATTGATTCAAAATCACAGTCTAGAGCCTATATTTTTATTATTATATTAATTTATATCATTACATAATTATATACTATGTAACTATGTATAAATATAAACTTACTATACTTAAGTTTTTAATAGGTGTTCCACATCTGAGACGAGGGGACAAAATGGGTTCATGGGCTTCTCTAAGTCTCTTACCAGAGGGCCTTCATGGGTATGTGACCTACACAGTCACTGGCCCTGAACTTGGTTTAATACCCTGATGTCACAATCCTCAATCATTGTGCACCAGGTCCTACAAATTGTGCAGCCAGTTTTGCTCTTATATTTAATATTAGTCCTCTCCCTCCTCTGACTATGGGCTCTCAGACTTTCATTTACTTAATTCCCAGGTCCTTCTCCTTGGCTTTCTAAAATAAATTTCTAACCCTGTCTCCCTACTCACTCCCCAACAAAATGATTGTTCAAAGTCCTTAGTTTTTAATTCTACCTTTAAGACACCTGTGTGAAATGGTGTTTCTTGAAAACCTCCACAACTATCTGAAAATGGCTAGACTTTTATGTGTTTTTAATCATCTGACATATTTTCTTATCATTTAAGACTAAATGAGCACTTGAGCAGCAAGAAAATTTTAAGTATATTATATATAATGAAGTAGTTTGAGAATTTAATTACTTTTTACATCTTCCTTCAAGTACTGTTTTACCTTGTTGTCAGCATTCATACATACACACTGCCTCTCACTCATATATCAAACCATCATCTTTCTCTTGGAAAAAGAGGGAAAAAATATTTTTATTGCTTCTTCAAACATATGGAAGTTTAGCACAATTCTAAATGTGTAACATGAGATTCAGGGGTACTGAAGTGTTAAGCAGAAGGTTTCATATAGCAAGTTATATCAATGTATGTGTGTGGGGAGGTATATATAACTATGTGTACAAGGAGATAGATATGTATTACAGTTTGCATTTTCACCAAAAATTAAAACATATCTTCAACACTCTAAAATAATTTCAGAAGACCAGAGGCTAAAAAACAGAAGCATGTACTTACAAGCATATATAAAGAATATGTTAATGAAAATAAAAAATAATTTCACCCAGATTGACTTAAGACTTATTGAACTACTTAAGTTACTCAATGCCCATTAGTTGACGACATATCTGACTTTCAAAACAGGTTTGAGTTGAAATTAGATGCAATCGAGAAATGAGCTTTGTATACTGGGCAGGCAATAAAATGTTTGCTTTTTAATTTTTTTCACTCTTTCTACTCTTCACTTTTTCTAGAGTATCACAAAGATTAATATTACTTCAACAAATGCAGAATAAATTTGGAAATCAAAACACAGAAAAGGGATCACAACTGCAAGCAGCTGAGACTGCTTTTAAAAGGAATCTTAGTCTTTTAAAGGTAAGCTTCCATGACTTAAGTACAGAGATGTTTCCCACCTTTCCAAAAACATTTTACGTGAATTTCATTATTTTCATTTATAATGAAATGAATAATAATGAGTAATAGGTAGAATTAATGGGGGAGTATCTTGTTTCAAACCCATGTTCATCAGACAGATAACATATGGGTTCTCATTTTTCAAGATGAAAAAAAAATTCATGAAAAATGAATGTTTTCAAACATCCAGAAAAATCAATAACTACACAAGGAATATTAAAGTCTCCATTGGGCAAGAAGTAAGAAACAGAAGGTGTCCCTTTCCATTTTCCATCTTCTTTCATTTGAAAGAAGATCCTGAAAGACCTTAAAGTACCTGTAATGTGCTTAGATCCAACTCAAAACCATTACGCATTATGAAAATAAGAACAATTTGATTTTGCCCTCTTGGAACCACAGTCAACACACAAAATTCATGTCTACTATAGCAGATTTCCCAGATCCTTTTGATGGTTATGGAGGAGGTGGTCAAAGTGTATGATTGCGCAGGGCCTCACCATTTGGCCAATGTGCCCATTTGGAGTAAAATCATATGTGTAACATTTTTGGCTGCTTGCTATACTTTGCTTCCAGAATTGTGGCTTCATCCATAATTAAAACCCTAAAGTTTGCTTCCATTCAAGCTTCCAAGAGATCCTATGACTAAAACATTTGGTAGTAAGACTATATTATTTAAGTTATAAAGCAGTGTTTTCAGTTTTTTATTGTTAAATATTTTCATCGATAGGCATGATACAGTTATCTTCTATCCTCACTAGAGGATAAAGGAAGAGGAAAATTCAGTTATCTTCTCAGCTTCTGGCAGTTTGATCCACAGTAATTTAAGTCACAGCCATAGTGCTACCAAAGCATTCTATATTGCCATATGTCTTACTTGCCCAATGGTGTTAGCAATATTTATTTTTAAATGGAAATATATAGGGTATTCTGGAATTTGCTGTGAAAAGTTAGAAAAACTAAATTAGAACGCTTGATTGCTACCTACCTGAAGCAAATGATGTGATATTTGGTTCTCAAGTGGTGTCCTTTTAATGAGCAAGTATTTGATGAATGCACAGAAGCTGAAAGTGGAGACAATGAAATAACTGTAAATCATAGTTCTTGATATGAAGGTAATTAGTTGATCATCAAGGCTTAGTTGATGATAAAAGGTTATAAACTCCCTAATATCAGGAACTCTGAGACTTCATGTGATTAAACACTAAATGATATGAAATATGATAATAGGTACATAACGATGTTTGAGAGGAAGAATATTCTGAGAGGTCTCAGAGAGGAAGCAAGGCTTCATTTATATTTGAATAGGCAGAAAAAAAGGTATTCCATTGGATTCTTAGCAAAAAGAGCCAAGAGCAGAAAAAATAAATGGCCTTATGAATGTTCATGGTACTACAAGCTAACTAGTGTGCAGATTCACAGGAAACAATGTATGTTGTGGGACAAAAGAAGTTGAGATTTAATATGCAGAGAAAATATTGTAGAGATAATAAAGTAGTGACAGTGTCTAAGCAAAAGAAAAATACAAACTAATATCAGAAACATATGAATGGGTGTTTAAGAAAGATTCAATTACTATTTAGATGCAAGGTGATACCAAGAATAGAAAAACTGGAGTTAAGAAGAAAAGCTAAGAGCTGGGGTTATGGCTCAGTGATAGAACACTTGCCTAGCACTTGTGAGGTACTGGGTTTGAACCTCAGCACCACATAAAAATAAACAAATAAAGGTATTGTGTTCATCTACAACTAAAAAAAATTTTTTTTTAAAGAAGCAAAACTAAGAAATTGTCATGTATGGATGAGCCCCTACTTACAATAGTTCAGCTTACACTTTTTTTGTCTTTAGGATGTTGTGAATTTAATTGACACCCAGGCTAACAATATGCAGTAAGCTACTCTTGGGATGCTGGGCAGCAGCAGAACTAGGCAGCTCCCAACCAGCCATGCAAGATCACAAGGGAAACAAGTGATTTTCTATAGTGTGCTGTGTGGCCAAGCTAAGATGTTCAGTAGGATGGGTGCTTTACATATATTTTCACACTGTAGTCTCAAATTATGATTTTTTTTTTACATAATCCCATTATAAGTCAAGGAGTGTTTGTAGATAAGAAAAATAATGAACCTGGTTTTATAGTTGTGAGAAACTTCAGTTTGGTATGGCATTTTCCCCCTGATTACCAAAGTAATGTATTCTCATATTTAAAAAAAAAAAAACATTTAAAAGAAAAAGATGAATCACTATATATCCATACCATTCTACCCATCTGGACTTAAGTACACTTTTGTATATTTCCTCTCAGTCTTTTAGTAACCACTGTTTGAGCATCTATTACATCAGACATAGTGCTTGTTGCTAAAAGTAGTCTTTTCTTTTAATACATACTTTGAATAATTAGACAATTTTTATCCTGCTTTCCCCCATTTTTTTTAATTTTGGAAATAATGTTCATGGCTCTACCATATAAGTCACTATAATAAATAAAAGTTAATTACAGAATTTTGAGATGGGAGAGAACTTTTTCAGGGGAGGGGAGTCATTCCACCACTGAGCTACTTTAGCTCTCATAATAAACTTTAAATGACAGTTATTACATTAGAGTCTCATAAAAGATTTAAAACATTTTTAGCATTAAAACTTTTTATAAAGACACAAAATAAATAAAAATGGACTTGATTTGGCCCAAAGCCCCATCCACAGCCTTTCTTTGATGTGTGGCTCTTGCACTAAAAACCGAAAAACCCTAATCTGGGCCAATTCTTTCAAGATGAGGAAACCGTAGGGTAACTATCCTAATGCCTCTTGTCAGACACAAGTTACCTCTAGGATAGGTATTTCTACAGTACTGCACACGCCTTAAAAAATGGTACCATTAAAATCTGTACTATAATGATAGGAACAAATAAGGATGGCTTCTATTATCATCCATCATTTGACCTCTTAGATCTCGTAACCAATATAATAAACATTAAAAGTTAATGGCCTTTAACTTTTGAAAAGGAAGATACAACAGCAGCATTTTATATTATATGGTTATATACTTTAAAAAGCTAAGTTTTGTGAATTGAGTCAAATTAACAGATTAAAAGTACAAAAATTAATAGCAATTCTATTTATACAACCAGAAAAGAGATCAGATTCACATTAACAATAAAATTCTAAGATATTTGGATATGCTCTTAACAAGGGTTATTCATGATACTATAAAACTACTTATTACACCACGAGATTTAGCAGAAAGCTTAAAAGGTGACATATGCCTTAATCCCAAATAGGGAGACTGTTGTTTTTCTAAAGTCACTTGTCACAAAGTTTTTTATAGATTTTTTTTTAATTCCAAAACTTTGCATTGAACTCAGTAAGTTTCTGAAAATTCATTTGGAAAAATAAATTGTCAAGAATATCAAAGAATAAGGAACATACTAATCCCGACTAATATCTGACCATATTAGTGAATATATGGCTGTGAATATAAATAAGGAAGAAACAATCAGGGTCCAGTCATAAATGTCATAAACTGAAGTTAACTTGGAAAACACAGGCTGAGACATTTTCCTCTATTAGAATTAGTTAAGTGGAATTTATCTGCCTTTTAGAAATATAAGTATAATTAGTGTGAATTTCAGGAGAAACAGGATTTTGTTACCATAAATACATGTATGATACAAACTGTAATTTCTCCCCATCACCTCCCCAGAAAAGTTAGTTTTACACAGAAAGGCAGTTCTGTGGAAAGTAATGTCATCTCATGAGAAAGCCAGAAGAATACGCCAGAGGAAGAAAGAAGAGGAAAACACTTCTACAGATCAGAGATTCAATGAGTGCTTCCTCTGAAGAGTGATCTGGAAGTTAACACTCCTACAGATCAGAGATTCAATGAGTGCTTCCTCTGAAGAGTGATCTGGAAGGACAGCTGGCAGTTAAATGGGGCCTTTGACCAAACTGCCACCCAGGATGGCCAGTTACTTAAGTTTTCTACTAACCACCTTTTAAGACAAGAAACAGATGAAATGTATTATTCTAAAATAATTTTTTAGTGAGGCATATACAAAATATTTCAAATGTTGGCTATAAAAATGTTTTCTGAGTCTTCAAAATTCCATGTATATTTTATTTTTATGTATATCTTAACTCAGACTTGCCACTTCTCAAGCATTTGGTAGCCACAGGAGGCTAATGGCTAGTGTTATCAACAGGGCAGATCAAGGGGCCTTGGCAGACATAGGTTTGAAGTTTAGGGAACAAAAACTTCTACAATGGATGGATGTCTCTCCTTTTATAATTTGGCAGTCATTGATGAGCACTGCCTTGCTATGTTAGAGGTTGCACAGAGTGATATTCAGATTTTTTTTATTCCTTCTCATTCAATTGCTGATTATTTATATGAAGGGAATCTTTCCTTCTTCGATTACTTGGTTACACTGATATCCAGTTCACATAGGAAAAGGTATGCCAAGTATCTGATCTTTCCCTATTTTTAATGGTGTGACTTTGTGCACACATGTGTGTATTTTGTTTTTGCAGTTCTGGGTTTTGAACCCAGGGTCTCACACATGCTAAGCTACACCCCCAGCCCTATATTTAGTTATTTTTATTTTAATTTTTTTTTGTAGTTGTAGATGGACAGAATGCCTTTATTTTATCTGTTTATTTTTATGTGGTGCTGAGGATCGAACCAAGAGCCTCACGCCAGCTAGGCAGGCAGGCACTCTGTCACTAAGCTACAGCCACAGTCCTATATTTAGTTTTTAAAATAATAGATTGTTTTTTCAGCAGTCCTCCAGAGGTGATCACTGAGGTATTGTTTTGTTTTAAATTTATCTGGAATTTGAAAACCTAAAAAATTACAATTTTTAAAATTCTTATTTATGCTTAAATTATGGCACTTTTACAAAGTAGAAGCCTCTTCAAGTTAGCTCCTGAATGTCTTTGATATGATCTCAATAGATTACTTTCTTTCAGATAATTTTATCAAAGACTATCTAGGCTTACTGGGTATGTTTGCTGTCCACACCAGGAATTGGTCATTGCTTCAGGGAGTCTTGGCTCCTTTTGGCAGGGAATATATTTAGAGCCCTCAATTTGGGCACTAGGACTATTTATTACAACTTCATTTGATCATTTTTTAAAGATAAAATACAAGAGCATCTATCAGTACTTCCAATTTAATTATAGGATTGCAGGTTTCTTAACTTAAAATCTTGCACCTATATATTTTTCTTTTCTCAAACCCAAAATTCCATTTCCCAAAGAATTTTCCAATACCAACATAACTACATATAGTAGACCCTTCCTTACCTGTGGGACATATGTTCCAAGACCTCCAGAGGATGCCTAAAACTGCAGATGATGCCTAATCCTATATATGCTATTTATTTCTACACATAAAAACTTGTTATGAAGCTCAGCCTATAAATTAGGCACAGTAAGAAAGTAACAACAGCAAAGAATAACGAAACAATTATAGCAGTATATCATAATAAAAACTGAATGTTTTCTTTCCCTCACTCTCAAAATCTTATACTAACTCACCCTTTTTATGATTATGTGAGCTGATAATGCCAGTATGATGAGATGAAGTAAAGTGACTGACAGACATTGTGACATGGCAGCAGGCTACTACATGAGGATAACTTAAACATAAGCACTGTGATACTGTGGCAGCTAAGCTGATAACCCAGATAACTGCTAAGTGACTAACAGGCAGATAGCATATACACTGTAGATACACTGGACAAAAGGGTGATTCATGTGCTAGGATGAATGGAATTTCACAAGGTTTCTTGCTACTCAAAATGACAGACAACTTAAAACTTGTGCCTTGCTTACTTCTAGAATTTTTTTTCTTTTTCTTTCTTTGTGTATATACCCATGTTGGCATGATTGTGCTGGGGACTGAATCTAGGACCTTGTGCATGAGAAGCACACACTTTTTAGAACATTTAAGCAGTTTCACAACAGGTGTGGATAGAAGTGAAATGATATATACTCTTAGCATAAGTCAGAGGACTTTGTAAGTACTTGTTGAGTAAGGAATTCCCACCAGCACTCATTCAAGTGGGAAAAAGATGAGCCTCCTTTCATTTGGTTGAGAAGTAAGGGTTAGGATGCCAGGTTGGCCAGTCATCTACGGACATACCTGGAACTAGATGAGACATAATCTTAAAAGGATATGGGGTAAAAATATGAAGACAGATATCACAGTTCTTAAGAAACCCACACATAGAAGCAAGGAAAGAAAAAGAATCCAGCTAAAGAGAAAGAGGAGGTAAGAGAGAGAGGGGTCAGGGAGAGGGAGGTGAACAAAAAACATCTATGTAAAATATCACTAAATATAAGAAAGAGGCTTTTCTGAGATGTGGTAATCTTGGGGTAGACATGAAAGGCTGTCTCACCATAGTCCTGCTTTCCCAGCCCACGTGCGCGTCTGCCCATATCTGCTCTTTTGTTTGCAAATCTGCTCTTCTAAAGAGATAATCAGCATCTTAATTTTCTGGTCTTCAAGAAAAACATTTATAATACTGTCTACAGTGCTAGTAACACCTAGATCTACAACTAACAATAGCTTTATAAACTGTTCTCAGAATATTGGCACAATTGAAGGTGTGATTATTCTCTTTGTGTTTTGGTGACTGGATTTCTAAAAGTAAGAAATAATTTTCCAGGACCTTGTAAAATCTGAGCATAATCACAGAAGAGTTAGGCTTCCGTGTCTGTTGTGTTGGCATCAAACACTCTTCAGTGTGCATCTTAGATGTAAACTTCTGAGATGGGTTAGTCATGCTATTATTTAGACCAATTTTTTAAACCCCAAGTTGATGTTGTTTGGGGTTTTTTCCCCCCCTTCAAATCACCTTCCTCTAGACAGCAGGTGCACTAATGGTTGTGCAACTTTGGGGAGTCCCTTTAGGGAATTTCCTGTTTTTCCCTTTTACATTTCACACCCATTCCTTGCTCCCGCCGCTACCATCTGCTATCTTTTTTCTCCCGTTCAGCTTTGGCTTCTTCACACCCCACTCCCACGCCCTTTTCCATCTCTCTCCGTCTGTCCAACAGCCCTCTACTTAGATTGCTCCAATGCGTGCACGGGGATCAAGAGAACTTCCTCTTTTCTATCAATTCACTAAGCTCCAAGGAGAAACAAAATTTGCATGGCCTTGAAGCCAGGCCTCTGTGACCTTGATAAACGTAGTAAGTGGACACCAGACAAAAATAGGTGCCAATTTGGGGAGTGTTTTTAAACGAAGTTCAAAGGTCTCAGCAACAACTTGCAAAAATCCTACAATAACTGGGCAAATGTTTCATGCGTGTATGAAGCTAAAAAAATTGTACCAGGTTATAAGTTTAGTTATCCTGATGTTTTGACAACTGTGAGAGAAAATACACGTTTCTACAAGTTAAGCTACGAATTAAAGCACAGTGTAACTACAAATTAAAGCACAGTGTTTGAATGCCATCAGCTGAAATTAACATCGAAATCTAGTCCTCAAAATCTGGACAGCTTAGTAAGAAGGTCTTGGCAAAAAGTACTAAGGCACCTCACTGAACTTCTTTTAAATATGTGAAATGTTTGCATCAATATAAAAAAATTAAAGATGAAATGCTGAACCAACAAAATGTGTGCCACTAATTAATGTACCATTTGCATCATCAGGAGAGACTGGAACTCATCATTTTTAAAGTTAGCACAGTGTGGACCTGAGTATCTGTTTTTGTACCTGGATTCTTGATTATTTCATTCGTCTGGCTGTTTTTAGGTCATCTTAAAACTAAGTTAATGCTCTGAGCATTTTTAAAGGAAGTTCTTTTTGCAAAAATTACTGGCATTTACCAGCTATTCAAAGTGAAAAGGCAGAATGTAAAAATACCACCCCCCTCTTCTATTTTAAAATCAGAAACCCTGCACTCTTTAGTAGAAGCTGGTTAATTGAGCTACAATCAGTTCTCCTACCTCAGTGTCCCTCCATGAGTTAAAACTGTGGGTCTAGAGAGGAGCTGAGGTGAGAGATTTAGGGTGTAGATACTGGTAGGATAGGTGTCATTTGTATTACCTAAATACACTTTGATGATAAAAATGTTCTCTCTATATACAGGATATAGAAGCAGCAGAAAAATCTCTGCAGACCAGGATTCACCCAGATCCACGGCCTGAAGTGGTTTCTCTTGAGGTGAGACTCTTAAGGGAACAAAAGTAACCGAGACCTCACCCTATCAGTAGGGTACTGTAAAGTAAACAGTGGTTACATGTGTGTATTACCCAGATTTATTTATTCATCAAAATAAGCAAGATGTGTTCAATTGATCTTTTTATATCCACAATACCATGTTTTATAGGTAGTGAGTAATTAGGAAGGATCTTGATGAAAATAACTTTTTTTTTTAATCTAATGGAATTTTTTTTAAAGGTCTTTACCCCTCATCCCTTAGAAACAACAGTCCTGTTAAATCATAGAAAACATGATGTAAACCTTAAGGCAGCAGCATGCCTAACCAGAGTGCTTTTCCTATTAGAACTCTTGGAAGTAGCAGTTCTGTCCCTTCACCAAAATTGAACCAAAGCTATTTAAGTACACATTATCATACACGACAGTGTGGCTTTTGTCTGTTTGATTTAGCTCAGTTCAAGAGCAGGGTGAGAAGATGGTTGCAAAAATGAACCATATTTGGTATATGAATGTGTTTGTGATGAATGGGAATTTACTACATGTAGAATAGGTTCTATTATGTATTTTTAATAACCCTTTTCAAATGGCAGTTTTGCTTTCTGCCCAACGGGGGATATGAACGGACTCAAAATTAAAGGATGAGAATTTTGCCCTCAATTTTGTATGTCATCTAGGGTAATAAGAAAAGGCAGTGATCGAAGAGAGAAAAAGCTGTGGTACAATGTCATGCTCCAAGCGTCTCTTTCTTTGTTGAATTCTCCAATACCTTACCCTGGCAAGCACAGGGCCCACACAACAGGGGTTAATCCAGCCGTGAATGGCAGAGAAACTCCCAAGCACAGGCCTTGGATGGTATTTTTCTTGGCTAGTCTTGCACAGCAGGATGACCCTTTATTTTAAAAACGTCAGGCTGCTTCTGAGACCACAGGCATAGATGTATAGACATGGAGAATCCCTCAGCATTTTTAATTGTCAAAGCCACTGTACATTTTTAGTGATCAGTGTAAATAATTATGTGTTCCTAGTGCTATCCAACTCATTGGATGCATTGCCCCAAATGGGACTGGTAGTGTTGATCTCATAGAAAGTGGTCTCGTGTGATGCAGGAATTTTTGCACAGTAGCTCTCTTTAGTTTCCTTAGGACGGTTACCTAAGAAACCATCACAGCTCCTAGTCACAGCAATGTTACATGAACTTCTAAAGCCAGACGCCACTAGAGTCAAACCAATAAAAATATAGCATCTCAAATTTCCAGCTATGTGTATTAAAAAATGGTTAAGCTGTATTGACAGTATTTGGTCATACAAAAAAAATTTAAGACAAATTTCAATTTGAAATGTCACAGATTTGTAAAAGGTAGAATGGGTACATATCTCCCATATACCTAAGGGGCCAATCCATCTGACTCCTAGACTGTAACATACTAGTTAGAGTTCCGTTCCCGATCTCATCCCAGGTCAAATCATTTTATGTAATTCTGAAGAAAGTATTCACGTTTGACCACTTCACTATTATCATTTTGGTATCATTTAGTATGAGATCTGGAACATTAAGCTAACATATTTAATGATTTATAGCCATAAATGACACAACTGGCAATAATCACAAGGTTGGCCACAAGAGGGCGTGTAAAATCACAATAAAATTCTAAAACCTGTAATTCTGCCAGGCTCTGGTTTTACTGAGAAATTTGAAAATTAACACTAGTAAGTAGCCAGATTTTTTTTCTAAAATTAACATAAAATATTCTGTAGAGGAAATTCATTCTATGTATATGTGTGTGTGTGTGTGTGTGTGTGTGTGTGTGTGTGTACACGCACACACACACTTAAGTGAATAAACATTTAGACTATTATGAAGAGCCAAGTTCAATTGCTTGATATGCTTTTTTACTTTTGGATTTTTTTTTTTCAGACTCGTTACTGGGCATCGGTAGAAGAATATATTCCCAAATGGGAACAGTTTCTTTTAGGAAGAGCACCATATCCTATTGGTGTTGAAAATCAAAATAAAGCAGAAAACACCCTTCAAAATGAGACACAGCAATAACTTTTTTGCATCCTGTTTTTTTTAATTATTTAATAAAGCTGAATAAAGAACATGTAGGTAATTGCAAGAATTTTGGGAATTGAACATGGTTCATATTGTTCAATTAACTCCTAAATGACAATGAATACAGAAGAATTTACTGGGAAGTCTCTAGTTATCATCTATTACTATCCCAAGGTCATGAATTTGCTTTCTACTAAACCCCTGAAAGTGTTAAAAACTAATATTAAAGGTGAACTATTTATTAAACAAGTTACTAAATCTGCATTGTGTGTGCTATTTTAAATATTTACATCACTCTCATCTAAATAGGTTGGTTCTAAGTTTTCTAGAATCTTTACTTTTTATTACTTTATTATGGGGACAAAAGTAGAAGATTAAGGTAGTTGCCTAATATGTTTTTTTTTTTAAACGTATAAACAGGGACACTTAGCTACTTTTGTAAAATACTTATCAGTAGATAGATTTACAGAATTTCATGCTTCACAGGTAATCACATCTTCCAAAATTCTAGAGATGGAAAGAAATTAATTGTAAAATAGTGGATAAGTAGCCAGTTTTCAGGAAGGCTTAGATTTGGTTTTGAAAAAARAGATTCATCAGAGCTGGAAATGGTTTTGGATTTTAATTTGGTTATTTAAGGATTGCCAACCCTGTGACTACAAATAATCCCTCCCTAATATTTTCATTTTTAAACTGTCCTTCTGTCTCCCTTCTATTTTCATTATTTCTGAAAAGATTGTTATTCAAGACAGGGGCAGTGATTCACCTCTATAATCTCAGCTACTCAGGAAACTGATGCAGGAAGATTACAAGTTCAAGGCCAGCCTGGGCAACTTAGCAAGACCCTGTCTCAATATATAAAATAGAAAGTGCTGGGGATCTTGTGCAGTGGTAGAGAACCCCCTGGTTCACTCCCCAGGACAGTAAAGGAAAAAAAATAAATAAGTGTCAGAAAGCTTTAGGTCACAACCCAATACAGCTTTGAGATTCTTAGTATACCAAGTACTTGAGCACTAGAAACAAAATGGTAATTTTCTAACTGTAGAGGCAGCCTCTGCTAGTAAAAGGTCTATGCTACATTACAATTAACTTAAATTGTAAACTATTAAGAAAAAAAAAGGACAATAGGACAAACTTAAAAGAAAAAAAAACTATTGAAATGTCCATCCTTCTACTAAGTTCCTTTAAACTACCGTCTTGGAAATATCCTGTTGAGTGGGTGTTGGTGTGGGTAACAATAACGTTGTTTTCATAATATGTGCTGGCAGATTAGCACACTTCTCTACAGTGTTAACAGTTGTAATTAAGGAATAAACAGCACAGAGTGTCAGTCCGATAACAATTTCATCTATGGTGTCACAATACAAAATGTCACAAAATATTAGAACTGTTATATAACTATAAAAAGTATCAGCTTAAAAGCCAAAAGCCTTTAAAAAAAAAAAAAAAAAAAAAAGGAAACAGAAAAAGGAAGAAATAAGAAAACTGGTATAGCGGCCAGAACAATTTTATACCTTCTCAAGAATGTTCTGTCATGAAAATAAATTGATAAATTTTTTTGCTGTTACATTACAGTTTGGTTTCTAGCCATCCAGTTGATTTAGCAGGAGAATGCAGGTTTTTTTAGCAGCTTTGAATTGGTAAACAGATTTAGATGTAGTAGGAAGGAGCATGAGGAAGTTGTTTTTTTTTTTCTTTTTTTTTTTTTTTAACATCCAATCTTCCCCAGCATATGCACATAAGAAGGTGAATGAAATGGAGCAATGTGAAACTTATTTCTCTTTAGTCAAGTGAAAAAAAAAAAGACTAAACATTTGTTAGCTGGTAAAATATTGTGTCAAGCAAGTAGGCACATTCCAAAATTAAACAGTGGTTGATACGTTAACGTCCTCAAATATTTGAGCGTACACTTCCTTTGAGATCTGTAAATTAAATCACCAGTGGATTAGATTAAAATACAAAATGAATGGCAATGTAACCATCTCAGAAAAGGTTCAGGTTTTTTTCTCTCCTAAACTGATTAACTTGCTGGGGATTTTTTTGTTGTTTTGTCATTGTATCTAAGTCTAATATACCCTGAATTGCAATTTAGGGCAGAAAGGAAGGTATTTTCAGGTTTCAGCTTTACAATCCCCCCCGCCATTTTAACTAATAACTCAAAAACTCCCAGAGACGACTTTATTCTTGGCCCTTGCAGAGCTCCCCCACCCCACCCACCCCACCCGCCTTGTAGATGGTAACAGATTGCACCACATGGTGTCTGTATAAAAAAAAAAAAAAAATTCCCATAGGGACCTGGATATCCCATTAAAGGGCTTTGTACTCTTAATGGCAAATTAGCTTTACATAGGAATTTCCAAACATTGTTTTCCAGGGAAGAAGGGTGGAATACCATATATAAAAATATATATATATTTTCTACAATTGGTAGGAATACCAAGAAAAAAAGAAATTTCATCTACATATCCCTTCCCCCATGGAATCAATGTACTTATCATACTCTACTCAACCCACCATTCTCCATGAAAACTATGAATCTGTATTCCCCCCCCCCCTTTTTTTTAAATGGGAGTTTTTAAAATACAAGCCATTCGAAGAAATTTTTTAAAGCCTTTCTTGGATTGTTGCAAACGCATAAATATTCAAAGCTCAGTTTCTGCTGAGACACTTCTGGTCTATGAAATTATTAAACTAGAAAATGCTAAAGATCAGAAGGAGCTGCAGTTTTCTTTCAAACTTTAAAAACGTAAATTTTAAGTACTGAGGAAAAATGCCTAACATTGTGGAAAACAAACATCTGGTTGTCTTTGTGAGGGGACAGTGTCAGTGGAACTGAAGTCAAATGGACAGTTTTTTTCTCTGCTTAGGTTCAGGTGTTTTCGCTGATCAGCTTAAGACTTAGGTGAGGATAAAGATCTATTTTAGACTATCTTTCCTTCTTTTCCACAAAAAATAATGAAGTGGATGTGTGGGCATATTTCTTTTTAATAAAAAACTTATTATGTTATCATTTTTCACAGAATACAAGAACTGTGTGTGTAAAACCAGGGTTTGCAATCACCAATTTCAGAGGAAGCTACCAGGTTTTCTATCCATTTAAGTTCTAGTGCATAAAATCTAGTGCACTGGCCATGAATTTCGCTTACATACAAAATACATTCTTCCATTTTCCTTTATTGCTGTATTCATTTGTCTTTTTACTCTAATTTATAGCCTTTTCCTTTTTGTTAAAGAAAAAAAATGTTTTTAATTTAAAATAAAGTTGTCGATTCCCGCCCCCCCCCAATGGAATTCTGCCCCTTTTCAAGAACTGGCCAAATATGCTACATGTCCTAACACACTCTTCAATTAGTCATCTAGTTTTTACCGATTTTACTTTAATTAGGAAACCAAGATAATCTTCCCCCCCCCCCTTTTTTTAAGAGTTTCAGATCCAAATCTACCCTTCTGAGAAGGTAGTAACCAGGTAATGAGTGCAGAGGAAAACTGTGGACTAGGGGGAGGCTCAAAAGAGGAGACAGATTACTGTGAGAAAACGTCATCCTGGAACCAGGGGCTCCGCCCCACCCCCACGTGTGTTTTTGTTTGTTTCTGTTATAATTTAGAAGTTAATTTGTCTACATAGGAAATTTAATTCCCCCATTGCTAATAAAAGCTCGTTTAGAGTTTTCTAAGGCCAACATGGGACGTGTCAAGCTTTGGCAATTAAGGAGAGGATTGATTTGTGGATTTGACATCTGGCATTGTGATCGCCCTTTCTAACTGGAACCGAGATTACATCCTTGCTAAAATCCAAGAAAAAGAAAGGCGACTCCAACAAAGCCAGAGGCTCAGAATGCTTCCGGACCTTATCTTGCCTGGCAGAGTCAGGTTTCTTTGCTCCCTCCTAAGTTTATAGCAATGTTTGAAAGTCTTTGCAATTTTAAAAAACCAAATTCTCAGACAAAGACTGAGATCTGTGAAAGTGGCATCTAGACTCACCACAGGAAGAAAAAGAAAAATCAATATCTAGTTGCAGTGAGAGGAAACCATGAGATGCACTTATGTTGAAAAGTGATGATTTAGTGTGTTTCTTTTTATGATAATTGGTCTTTTGACCTCCACTGTTCAGGTTGAAATGTTTTTCATTTGAGTCTAGGATATCAATGTAGAAGTTTCTGGATATTTTACACAGTACTATTTTAGGGACAGTATAGTCAAATTAAAAGAAGATTACAGATTTTATAGTATACGTCTCTATCTTCTCTCCCAATACCACTTATTGTTCATACTTTTAGACATTTAGAAGATAACACATATAATTTGGGGGGTTACTAGAATGCTCTACTCCAGGAAACGAAATACTGAAATATGCCAAAGGAACTCAAATCTAGCGCCCTTAAAATCATAGCCAGTCAACACAAAGGTGGGCAAAATTTGAGTTCCAGTCATTCATTCATTCAACAGATCCTACTGACTGTTTACTGTGTCAGACACGGTTCTAAATGCCAAGGATACAGAAGCAAACAAGACCAAACCCCCATCCTCACAGAATTAACATTCCAACAGAGGCAACAGAGAGAGGGGTTGAAGGTATAGATAAACACATAAAAAAGAGTATGTGGTGTATTAGATGGTGAGGAAGGGGTAATACAGTATGAATATCTAACACAGCCTCTCAATGCAAGAGAACAAAGCAGACTTTAGCATTTCTCAGATATCATAACAGTAACAAAGTTCTTTTTCCTATTCAAAGATCTGGAGTTGGGGTTTTCCAATGTAGCAACACTTTTGTGGCTACTAGTTTGGAAGTTGCATGATCAACAGGTTTATGAAAAAAGAATGAAAAGCAAAAATCCTCACTACTTTAACCGGTATTTGTAGGCAATGCTTATAGCAGCGTTATTCACAATAGCCAAAAGGTAATTCAAATGTCCATCAATGGGTAAAAGTCTAAAAAGCTAGCTATCTGGTGGAATGTCAATCAGCTGTAGAAAGGATTCTGCCAGGCCTGGTGGCAGAAACATCTCGAGTTCAAAGCCAGCCTCAGCAACTTTCCAAGGCCCTAAGCAACTCTTCAAGACCCTGTTTTTAAATTTAAAAAAAAAANTATATATATATATATATATATATATATATATATATATATATATATGAGGTGGGGAGCTGGGGATGTGGCTCAGTGGTTAAGTGCTCCTGGATTCGATCCCAGTATCAACAAAAAATAAAGAAATAAAGCAAGGAAATTCTGACACAAGTTATAACCTGAATGAACCCTGAAGA